ATTAAGTTTCTTTCAGTCAGAATATCAATGGCTTCTTATATTACGTTTTCTCGTATTTCCACTGTATGCAGCCAGCCTTTCTGTTGCTTTCGTGTACCGTTTGTGCGATGTGTTCCGCTATTTCGGATCTTTCAGTGTCCATGTTTCTGCAGAATCTTTGGTGTTCTTTGGTTCATGGGCTATTTTTTTTTCCTGTTTCACCAATATATTTTTGCTCACAACTACCTTATTTGATGATACAGCCTCCAGATCAATCCATTTTGTCAACCTTCTCGTGTTGCGTGGCAGGCTTGTGAAGAGTGTGGTCTTTTCTTTTGTTATCACCTCGATATTCCATTTTATTAACGACGGTCGCAATTTCTGGCTCAATTCACATAAAGGCAGGAAGATCTACTTTTTTCTTCCTCCCGATTTCTTATCCTATCATAAAACCCTAGCCGAGATCTCTTTATAACCCCTATATTCCTTGCTATCAATTCTCCGTGGTACTCGTTACTAAGGCAAATCTGAATCAGTTTCTCCAACTCCTTGTTCTAGAGGCTAGTGTCCGTTAGTTTTAAGCTTCTGATAACCATACTCATTCCGATCTTCAGTCTGTATTTGTTGTTAGACTGGAAATTGAGGATTTTTGCCGCATCTGAATAGTCGCCTCTTGAATATTCCGTTCGAGCGAATGACCTCAATGCCCAGGAGGGGTGCTAAGAATGGCAAGGCTCGATGACGATGTCGACTACGATGCTGGCGAAACGTCTGGGAATGTACCATGGTCATGCACACTATGGGCTCCGGATAAGGTGCCTTCCTCGGTTTCCCTGCCAATATGACCAAGTTGCGAAAACTAAGTTAAACGACTTTTATACAGTTTTGTTGTTTTAACTATTAGGTTTTGGCATTAGGTACCTATATGGAGGAATTCACTTACCTCATTGTATTCATGAAAATCCATTTTGAGTAGTTAGGCAGGCCATCGATAAATTTGGTTCGCTGCTTGACATACTGACTGACATTCGCTGAACTTATTCATAATTAACAAGTTCGCTAAGACAGTGTTGCAACTACTCGTCTATTCGTATTTCTTCTGCTTCTTTAGAGCATCACTATTTATGGAACCCTAAACTTTTGAATGGCACTTAATTTGGTATGCTGGTATATCGCTCAGATTGCATTTAAAGATGGACTATCCTTTGTCATCTTGCATAGTTCTCTTTGGTTTGACCATCTGTAATATTATTTTGCTTCGATTCTATACCGCGAGATGTCATCCATAATGGTTTGTTTTCTCGCTTGTTTTCAAGATTTAATCATAAGACTGCCAGACTACCGTGTCCTATTATCGTGTATTCTACACTTGTATACACAAGAAAATTCCTTTTAATTATTTAGCTTCCCTACATTCTCCCTTTGCCGCTCTTTTATCTTGACTGCCTTTTGTTCTACTTTGGTTATAGGTATAGAACAACGTATCCGCGCCGACTTTCGGCTCGCTCGTGTGTTGCCTACTGAACGTTTGCATGCTCGTGACACAGTACGGCGACATCTTGTGTTGGCGGCTCGCCTCACCCAACGCCTCGATGCTATGTATAATCTCTGGGTGTCTTCACCACAGTTAACAAATTCTCCTCAACTCCCCAGCAGCTCAGTGGATGCTTCGCATCCAATTGTCACCAACTCTACATCAATGGAATTGGATCGCTCCCACACCAATTACGAGTTGTGTGAAACAACTACAGTTGGTTGTGATGTCAATGTTGGTGAGTTGCCTTCGAATTGGGATGCCAGCTGCAAGGATATGAAAGGGAAGATAGCTTAAGAATTTTTATCGGAGAAAATAGTTTTTTTATTGGATTTTTAGTCTTTCCTAATAGATTAATCTGATGTATTTTTGCGCTCTGTCCCTTAGTAACTTAGCTTTCATCCCATAATAGACCCTAGTGTTTTAAGCCGTGATCCGTTTGTTCGACTTGTGTAATGTCTAGACAAGGAATCAAAATTGTTCATTAAACCTTGATTTTATACGGTTTACCAATCCAATGGCTACCCCCTGATATGCAAGTTTGATATATTTATACATCTTGTTACATACTTTCTCTTCATAGAGTCAGTTACACCGACCACTTCCGAAACTTCTGCTCAGCCTCCACCTGCTTCTTCCTCGGATTCGCCATTGAAAGGGAGCCATTCCACTCAGCAGCAGTCAACCAAACCGCCTCCCTTCAATTATCCACCGCCCACAGCTTCTAGTATTGACCTTCTCTGCGGCAGTCTTTCTGCATCCGCCACTCTTTTAAATGCATTGGCGGAATCGCCGAACCCTCTGCTTTCCGGCTTGACGGAGCATTTTGTCGATGAAGGCTGTGCTGAAGAGGAGGTTTTGTTAAACGGTAAGTTGGTAGTTTTTATTTTATCCATTAATCACTTCCGATTGTTGATTTTGAAACATTACCACTTTTTCGTGTGAGTAGGCTTTCGAGACTACCAGTAAATCATATATATGAGTTGTGTTCATCCTATTTCGTTTAAAGTGATGGATGACTGATAGTTGATTTTTCCAATAATGATATTAGTAGAGCTGAATTTCATATTGCCTTGCTTTCCAAAAAGGTCTTCTTATTCAGGGTGGACTGCGGTTTCGATCTCGCTTGAGTGTCATCTGCTCCCCCAATATGATGTGAATCACAGGCGTGAGGGTACCC